AAATGACTCCCTTTTTTTAAATATCTTTATTGCACCACATTTAATTTTCGGATTTATTTCGGCAACTTTTGTGTTTCATTTAATGCTTATTTCTTTGATTTTAAAGTAGAGAACCGCATGCATATAAATGCAGATACTGTGGTACTTTTTAATGGCAACAAGGGAAGGAATTAAAAATACTCATGTAGTAAAATGCTTGTTGCAAAAATATGGAGTGTTAAAAAATCGGTAAAAAGAAAAACATGTTAGTTAATAATAAATGTTATAAAATTAGTTGAAAATATTTTTACAGGAGTGGGGGCAAACGAGCATGTGGCTCACCTGATGGTAAGTGACTACCGCCGCCCACGAACAATTGCAACACCAGGTGAACCAGGGGAATTGCAGATGCGTTGCCGGCCTTTTAAAAAGGAATCGGCTCTTTTCTTGAAGGTCCCTAAGTCGTACCGGTCCGGAAAAATCGCTAATGGTAATCGATTCCACAAGGAAGTTGTGCAAGGAAGAAAACATCTTCTAAATCGCACAGTGGTGGACCGCCAATCATCCAGATGGTGTGGATGGTATCGGGAGTTCTGCCGCGATGTGGGTTCGTGAAATTTGGCGGCTGGGATTAATCCGAACAATTCCTCAGAGCACTTCCCGTGTTAAATGCGAAAGAAAATGCAAAGGGATGCAACATCTCTTCGCAGTGCCAATGAATCGAGCCGATCGGATCGATTCCATGTGAGGCCGAACCTGCGCCTTGTAAAGTTGCAGGCGGTGTGCCGGCATGAAATACTTTCCCGCTCTGCTGAGCAGGCAAAGCTTTTTAGAGGCCAATTTGGCCTTCTCTTCCAAGTGACCACGAAACTACACGTCACTCGATATGTCGACTCCGAGAATTCCGATACTGGCTGAGGCAAGAAGGGGATATTGGGTCAGTGAATCGAAACCAAATATTGTTAGAACTATGAAAAACTTTATTACTTATAAACACAGGTTATTAGTTGATTTACGTATGAACATTTTTCTTAAAATGGCGGACAAATTGCAAACTTAACAACGCTGACAGTTGCCGTACTTCACGATGGTATAGTGTCTTTAAACGATATTGGCTCACGATCTTCGCGATTATTTCATCACTACAACACCTCCCCTCGAAGTCGCGAGCAATAAATCTCTGGACTCTTACATACACATCATTCCTAAATTGCGCAAACATTCATGATGTTTTGGTCCACTCAAAACTTTGGTCAAAACATCTGCTGGCATTCTTTCTGTACATAAATATCTGAGTTCAATAAGACCACACATATCTTGTACAAAGTGGTGCCTAACATCAATATGTTTTGTTCGTGACCGATAAATTCTATTTTGAATTAATTTAATCGCACCCTGATTTTCATTAAATAATGTCACACACTCGCATTCAATACCTATAATATTAAAAATGTTTGATAAATACAAAGCCTCCCTTGTAGCTTCAGATATAGCTACATATTCGGCTTCTGTACTTGAAAGTGCCACCACTCGTTGCTTTCGTGCCTCCCAACTAATAGGAGCACCTGCAAAAATAAAAGCAAAACCAGAATATGACTTTCGATCTACACTATTCGCTGCCCAATCGGCATCCACAACACTAAACAATGACAAACCTGTCCTCTCATACACTAAACCGTAGTTAGGAGTGCCTTTCAAATATAGCAATACACGTTTTGCTGCCTTCCAGTGCTCAACATTATAATTAGTATTAAATTGGCTTAAATAGTTAACGCTGTAAGTGATATCAGGCCTAGTTGATACTGCTAAAAACATTAAAGCACTTACCAAGCTTTGATACGGATACTGCTTCATTACACTCTAATTCACACTCTCAGGCTTCATTAATTTTACATTAACATCGATAGACGTTAATGCTGGTTTGCATTCACACATGCTAAAGCGTTCCAACAGTCTTTCAATATACACACTCTGTTCCATATACACTCTATCCTCATTATCACGTGAAAACTGTATATCTAAACAATCAGAAATTTTTCCCATATCTGTCGTTTCCAATTTATTTGACAGTTTCTTTTTAACATTATTTAACCATACATTATCATTTGTAGCTAAAATAAGATCATCGACATATATAGCAATCAACATTATGTGTTCATTCTTCCGCGCTACAAAAACACACTGATCTTGAGGTAATGCCTTAAAGCCTATACTTAACAACATTCGCACTAATTCTTTATGCTACTGTAGCCCTGACTGATGTAAACCATACAACGACTTCTTCAACAAACAAACACAATCATCACATTCGTTCATCATCTTACGCCAGCGCTTAGCCGTCTCAGTTATTTTAATGTCTAGAATAACACTTTCAGAAGAACCAATCTTTTTGTTTGAGAGTATTTTGTCTAAAACTGCGCTGAATTGTTCTGGTAAATTCATATACACTTCTTCTTCAAGTCGACCATTCAAGTATGCAGTGACAACATCCATATGATGTATATCTAGTCCAAGCTCAGCTGAAATTGCTGCTAAAATTCTAATTGATGACGGTTTTACGACAGGAGAATAAGTTTCATGAAAATCCTCCCCTGGCCGTTGTGAGCAGCCTTTTGCGACAAGACGTACTTTCATCTGCCTTTGCTTATTGTAATTTTTGGTACTGAATACAAATCGATTCCCAATTACTTTTCGATCATGAGGTCTAGGCACTATTTCCCACGTGTCATTTTTAATTTGAGCTAAAAATTCATTTTCCAAGGCTTTTCTCCATTCGTTAACATCATCTGTCTTTTCGGCTTCATTCCTTGTCTTGCAAATTGTATTTCTTCCGATTCAGTGTCCTCATAAATGTGGTCTCCATCATCAAAAGGTGTTGTTGGTTTTGTTATAACACGAACCAATCTTGAACGTCTTTGATCTCCTTTAGAAGGTTTTATCAATCTTTCCCATGATACAGTAGCTTTTCTTTCTTTTGGTGATCTTTTAATCGTTCTATTTCTCTCATCATCTTCATTATTTGAATTTTCCAACGGTTTTGTCACTTGTTCTATATTTTCTACAGGTTCATTTAAATCTGATATTATTTTATCCTGTTCCACCCCTTGTTCTTCATTGAGTATGTCCTCATATTCATGCCTAAAAGCTGTTTCATTCATGAATTTGACATTCCTACTCAAAATAATTTTCTTGTTTCTTGGGTTATGAATTCTATAAGCTTTTGATTATGTATCGTATCCCATAAAAATGCCTACTTCTGAAACTGAATCAAATTTTCCTCTTTGTTTACCTTTCTTTTTATAATAAACTTTAGATCCGAACACTTGCATATAGTAAATGGTATCTCCCCATTAATAGCTCTCGTTGGACATCTATTTCGTATATAGTTAGCGGTATTAACATCTTCTGCCCTAAATGACGGCGGACATCCAGCTTGGCGCATCATACATCGTGCCATTTCTATTAAAGTCCTATTCTTTCTTTCAGCAACGCCATTTTGCTGGGGTGTATGTGGTACTGATAATCTCCGTGTGATGCCATTTGTCTTCAGAAAATTATTAAATTCATTGTTTATATATTCACATCCATTATCTGATTGAAGACACTTTATTTTCTTTCCAGTAAAATTTTCAACTTCGGCTTTATAATTTTTGAATACATTTAATACATCACTTTTATTGCGAATAAAATAGACTTCACACCAGCGTGATTTATCGTCAATAAATGTAACAAAATAACTTTTTCCAGCAAATGATTGGCGTCTCATCGGACCACATACATCTGTATGTACAATTTCTAATAGTTCACTTGTACGATTGTTGATGCCCTTAGGAAAAGGTTTACAAGTTTGCTTTTCACTCATACAAATTTCACACTCTAACAATTTTTCGTTGTCCTTAATGTTTAATCCATGGACTAAATGGTTTTTCGCCATGGTTTTTAAGTGACGTTCATTAAGATGACCTAAACGCTCGTGCCATAAATCTATTGACCTTTTTACAGCTTCAACATTACTCACACTGCTTTGACATAATCGCACGTGGTATAAGTTGCCAATTCGATCAGCTCGCATATGAATTTTATTTTTTTCGTCAATCACGATTGCGTCACTCTTCCTGGATCGCACTTCGAAACCGTGATCAGTTATTTTAGCCACCGACAGTAAATTTGTGCATAAATCCGACACATAAAAAACGTTGTCGATGTCAACTCGGCGCTCTTCACTGCCTGTGTCCACATTAATGCTCACTTTACCTTTTCCAGCAATTCGTGTGCTCTCATTATTGGCCAAATTTAATTCACTGTCTACATACGTAAATCCCTTTAATTGTTGCTTCTCATTGCACATATGTCCTGTGCACCCGCTGTCGATGCACCACACACGACTTTTATGTTCACCTGACATCACTTCTTAAGTGGTACTCAGCATTGTACTAATACTATCTGTATGTTTCTGTTCACTACTTTTTCGTTCTAACTGTTGCGCACTTTGTTTTGTTTTCTTAATGAACTTACTTCTACATTCCTTCGCATAATGCCCATAGCGACCGCAACGATAACATTCACTTTTATTTTTATTTTTAGTTACGTGCGTTTCGCCTTTCTTATAAGTATGCACTTTGTTACGCTTCACAAACAATGCCCCTTGATCAGACTTCTTCGATTTTCTGCCTTCATAATCCTCAATAATTTTAACTTTTAATATTTCTGTAGATGGTAAATCATCCCGTGACTCCATAGCCGTACGAAATATTGTAAAGGATTCGGGTAAACTGTACAATAATAAGATGGCAAGCAGTTCATCAATAACTACGAAATCAATTTCTTTTAATTTTTTGACAGCATCGAAAAAATCTGCTATGTGTTTACGCAAGTCATCTCCTTCTTGCATACGAGTCAAGACAAGTTTCTTTAATAAAGATGCTTTCCGTGCCGGTCCATTAGACTGGTACATTGATTTTAATTTGTCCCATATAGATTTAAAAGTATCTAATCCATCCAGTGCTATTAACTCGCTCGGGCTAACAGCTAACAAAATGTCTCTGCTCGGCTTTACCGTCCATTTTACACCACTCTGCAAACTTGGCGTCACTTTTCGCAGGCTTCGGTATCGCGCCCGACACATAATCCCACAGGTCATTTTTCTTCAAAATAGCCCGCATATGGATCTTCCATGTATCATAATTATCGACAGTAAGTTGGTCGATTTTAACTGAAGCCGCCATAATAAAGTTAATTAATCTTCTTCAATAATGCAAATAAAATAACGATAGGTTATATACATACAATCGGTACGTAACTATATAATACGATCTTCTCGTAAATGTCGTAACTATCTATTCACTTATGACGCCGAACTGTTATATGTATGCACTAATTACGCTTCTTTGTTTAAGCCGCATATTCTTTAATAATATTATAAGTTCAACACAGTTTATATGTCACTTTTAGTCTTTTTAACACTACTCTCTGGGCCCATAACCTATTGGGTTAGTGAATCGAAACCAAATATTGTTAGAATTATGAAAAACCTTATTACTTATAAACACAGGTTATTAGTTGATATACGTATGAACATTTTTCTTACAATGGCGGACAAATTGCAAACTTAACAACGCTGACAGTTGCCGTACTTCACGATGGTATAGTAACGTACCTAGTTATACATGTATACACATATCTTTAAACGATCTCTTATACTACTTATATTGGCTTACGATCTTCGCGATTATTTCATCACTACAACAGGGGAGTGCCTTGAAACTGAGGAAATACGACAAAGGGGTTCTTTTTAGCGGTAAACGCGCAAACTTATGTCTTCTGAGGATTAAACTGGACTAGATTTAGTCGCCCCCAATTCGAGACTTTGTTCAGCAGAGACTCGACTTCAGACACAAGTTTGTTCCGGTACTCGGCGACATTTTCCCGAGAAATATTGGCACAGCAGGTGTATAGAGCATCACAATCCGCATAACAATGAATGTTACCAGTTAGCATCATATCATTGATATGCAGAAGAAACAGCGTTGGTGATAGTACACAGCCTTGTGGAACACCAGCGTTAATAGGCTTGTAGTCGGAGCATGCACCGTCTACAACGACCTTGATGCTCTGATCTACAAGGAAGCTGGTGATCCAAACGCACAATTTCTCGGGAAGCCCATAGGAAAGGAGCTTCGAAAGAAGCTTTGCTGCTTTGTGCCAAACCCGATCGAAGGCTTTCGCAATGTCCAAACTAACAGCCAACCCCTCCCCCTTGGACTCTACTGCCTCCGCCCATCTATGAGTCAGGTAGACCAGAAGATCACCAGCTGATCGACCCCGACGAAAACCGTATTGGCGGTCATTAATCAGCTGGTGATCCTCAAGGTACCGCATGAGCTGGTAGTTAATAATGTATTCCATTATTTTGGAGAACAAGGAGGTGATGGCGATAGGCCTCTAGTTGGACGGGTCTGGGCGGTCGCCTTTTTTAGGGACCGGGTGGACAAAAGCCGTAGGGAGCCGTCCTTCGTAAAAGAGTAGGATTACCGGAAAATACGCATTAGAACCTGTGCGAACTCCGGAGCACACGTCCTCAGCACAATTGGGGGGATTCCGTCAGGCCCACTCGACTTGTGGATATCCAGGGAGAGGAGTTTGCGAACCGAGCGCTGTGAGAACCACACATCCGACATGGAGCACTCACACCGTGGGATGGTCGGCAGTGTTCCCCCGTCATCAAGAGTCGAGTTGGACGCAAAAAGGGAGCCTAAAAGGTCGGCTTTCTCTTTTGCGGCGTGGGCCAGTGAGTCGTCCTCCCTGTGCAGAGATGGAGATCACTACGATAGCTTACAGAAATTCCCTTGGACAGCCTTGGCGAAAGACCAGAATGCACGGGTTCCCGAAGGAATGCGAACTAGTTTCTCGCCAATTCTGTCTGTGTGTGCTCTGACTTTGCCTTGGCAATAACTCTTTTGAAGGACCTGGAGCCGAAGTTATACTTATTTTTAAGCATGCTGGTGTTTACATCCCGAGTCGCCGAAGTCGCAGCCCAGGCTTGATAACACTCCTGCTTACTGCGTAATGCAGTCTCACAGGAGCGACCAAACCAAGGCTGAGATCTGCCTCCGATGGGTACCACAGATGATGGAATAAATAGTTCCATTCCCTGTAGCACCACATCAGTGACAGAGTCAGCAACAGCGCTGGGATCATCCAGCGAGAAGAAAACCCGCCCCCATAGGTAGGATGCAAAGAAAGACCGCATTCTGTCCCAATCCGCCGACCTGTAATGCCAAACACGGCGGCAACCTGTAGAACGCAACCGCGAGAGGAGCGTGAGTGGCACCACACTCTGGATCAGACAATGGTCCGAAGAGCCGAGAGGGACATCGACAGAAACATGATATCCGTCCGGATGAGAGGTCAGCAGAAGGTACAACAGGGAAGGTGTATGATCCTCCACATCTGGAATCCGCGTAGGCGAAGTAACCAGTTGTGTCAGACAATATGCCAAGGCAAAGTCATAAACAGATCTCACCGCATGATCGGTTAAACATGAACCGAGATATTCGGCGTGGTGGGCGTTAAAATCGCCAAGGATCACGATCTCTGCGGATGGGACCTGTTGTACTAAGGAATCTGTAGCCATTTGGACGTGGTCGATGAGTCGGTCTGTTTCGGCATTACCGCTATGGGAGCTATAGAGTACCCGAGGTAGACGCGCGGATGGTCGTCGCTGTCTACGCGTAGCCAAAGGATGGACAGGTCCGAACCTTCAAGACTGCCGAGGCGTCGAGAACAGATGTCCTCTCTGACGTATATGCAAACTCCAGCCCGAAGCACAAAGGAGTGCTCCAATTTGTACCCCGGGTAGGAGAGATACGAAGTATCAGCCGGAGAGGACAACTGCGTCGCGGTCAGAAAGAGCAAGGCCGGCTTCGCCGTCTCGAGATGGTAGTGGACTGCGTTTAGGTTCGAGTGAAGTCCCGTCGAAGAGCAGTTATTTTGCCCCCCCCCTTCCCCAGAATATGGGGGCAGCCTGAGCACCCACGCTCAGGAGTGGAATAACATGGTCGTGGGTGCTCAGCTGGGGTGGTGGTGGTGGGGATTGGAGGGGAGGGGAATTGGACCTCCGCCCACCTGCACTCACCAGACGTAACGCGGAAGCAGAGCTTCTACTTCACGCAGGTATTCTGTGAGGTCGTGGTACCAACCCGGCTCGAGCCGGCCCATACGTGCAACAGCAAAAACTGTCGCGTGGCTCTACCACCGTTAAGAAATTGCTTAATTTCTTAAAATAAAATTGAGGATAATCTGTTGAAGTTGTTTTGTTTTGTATTTTCGGAGAATCTGACAAATTGAACACCAATTTGTCAAATTGGGCAACGCTGCCATAGTGCACCGAAATTTACCAGTAGGTGTGAATTGGGGCTTCTGCGTCACTTTGCTCTCGCTTCGCTCGAGCTACATGCTGCTGAAGGCCCCAATCTTGTACCCATTCAATTTTTTCACATCCTTTTAAAGAAATCTTTTCATCTTTCAAATATGTCTTTATAATTCTGTGAAACTCTCTATAATCGATAAAGCCCTCACTCCATCGATACCCTCTGTGCTTTTCAATCCAGCCAATTTGTTCTTTCTCTTCAGGAGATAGTGAAGTGAATGGGTAAGGAGGTTTAATTAGGAATATTGGTGTACTCTAGAGTGGCTATAGCAAACTCCTTTACTATAAATTTATTTTTGCTATTTTTGAAGCCTTGAAGATCGACGATTATTGTATTGCTATTCATGATATTTTCTTAACGATATTACTCAGTGGTTTGTATTCGAATATACAGTCGTTTAATATCAAGCAATAAGCGGTTGTCTGATCTGGTATTTCTTGGTCTGTTTCGATTTCAACTCTCACATCGATCGAACCTTTTAAAGTTTCGTGTTGTCTTGAACAATCAATTACAAATAATGGAACCACGTCTCTGAACTCCTTTAAACCCATCAACGGCTCTAACTGGCGTCCATGATACGACTGTTGAAATCTCGCATACTGACCGTATAATAAAATAAACTTATCTTCTGAAAAACTGACATTCAGCCCCTCATAAGGATAATATGATGAATTCACAAAGACTTTTACATCTCGTACGTGACAATGATCAAACTCTGCCATTGATAATTTCGCGTTATGTTTGCGGTTGGTTTGCAAGGCAATGACCACAAATCGTGGTTTCTCTATTTGCGATGAAGTTTTTATAGACCAAGTATGTTTACGTGTTTTGGGTAGCAATGGATATTCATATAAGTCCCAGGAACGGAATGCCAATGGAATATCTCTATCTTTCTCTAAATGTTTTAATAGGCTGATTCTTTCACGTTCTGATACTTTGATGTGTGGAACTCGCCAAACTATTTCATTTATTATAATATCTTCTACAACTTCACTTGTATTTAACTTGATCGCATTAAGATTTGTATTGCTTCGTAATAATACTAACTCATGTTTACAATTAATTATATTTTTTTCATAATCTTCTGCAAATGCTAAAATATTTTTCAATGGTATAGATGTGGAAAACGCTCCACCACTAGTATTGCTTGTTCCGCCAGTTGACCAACCCCAAACTCGAGTACATTTGGATTTATTTTCATTATTTTCATTTAAGGATAGATAAGATTTTATTGTAGTAGTGACACCAGCAATCTTAATTTGATCTATTTCTACTCCATTAAGTTCATATCGTATGTCTCGAAAAAGAAATAGCACGGGATTATTGACAAAATGTACGTTTGATACCTTTTCTTTTGTGGTGCTGTTATAAACGTTCACCTTTCCGTCGATATATAAGCTACTGAGTGAAGGTAGTACGTACAGGTCTTGTTGATTAATAGGAATACGTATTTCGTCATTCTTGTTAAAACTAGTTACATATGGTTTGTATGAATGATACTCAAAACTTTCAATGCTATTATCGTATGATGTTTGTTGAGATACGTTTAAAATCCGGAGACACTGTAGTGTCTCACGCCAAGTACACGTTCAACATATGTATAATAATGAAACGTGTATGCGTGAGACTACAGTGTATATATTCTCGAATCAGATGTCAGCATAACCTCACCAAATTTTTAACTTCAAATATTTAGTTATTAACGAAACGTCAACACTTTGTACAGTCATTTATTATTTTGTTTATCAATTGTTTCCATATAATACTAAAAATTATTGCTATCTATCAATTATTTCATACTTTTCAATATCTCAAATTTTTGCTTGCTCAGTTTTCCGATTACACAAAAGATTTTATTAATTTCGGTGGAATTTTTTCTTTTTAAAGATTGTTGACTTGAATGCCTGTCTTTTAAGCCATATTTTCATTTACTTATTTTCAAGATTTTTGGCTTGGATGCCTTTCTTTTAAGCCATGTTTTCATTTATCGCAACTTGAGCCAGTAGATAGTTTGGTAATATTATCTCAAGGCGTCTAAGCAGATAGACACCTTATGTTGAGAATATTAGTATGGCGGTAGGGATGCAAAATCGCTCATATAAAAAACCAAATTTTAGAACCTCGATATTTTCGAAAGAGAAACATCGATTTAAAAAAAAAGGGTAATTATAGTATAAATGAATACATGGTTGATAATAACCCCTGGGAATGAGGTGGTCGCTTCCAAGCAGTTTCTAAAATAAATTTTGTATATATTGTAATAGATGTAAATAGTTTGTAATCATTTTGTATTGTAAAATTTATTTAAAACAACGTCCCGCTGGGTTTCTTGCTGGTTCTTCCCAGGACAGAGGGTTTTTTCAAACCAGTGGTAAAGTAAAAAATTACTTTCAATAAGAATTACTCATGTAATGTATATTGAATAAAAAATTATTCTATTCTATTCTACTCTATTCTAAAAACATCAAAGTATATGAATAGAATTTTACTACATTCTATTGACGATGGAGCTATTACTCAAATGGGATTACTCTTTCTCAAAACTAATTCTAAATTAACTAATAGCAATAGAGGTGGAGCAATTTCGGATTTTTGTGGAGCATTTAAGGAGCAATTAATTGGCATTTAGTTTTATTTTAAAATGTAGATATTTTATGTTTTATAACAAAATTAAATTTTCGATACTTAAATTTTTTTAATTTATTATAAATTAATTAATAGCAATAGAGGTGGAGCAATTTCGGCTGCTGCTGAAGCATATAAGGGACAATTAAGTAGCATACAGTTTAATTTTAAAAAGTAGATATTTTATGTTTAATAGCAAAATCAAATTTGCAATGATTAAATATTTTTAATTAATTCTAAATTAACTAATAGCAATATAGGTGGAGCAATTTCGGATTCTGCTGGAGTAATTAAGGATCAATTAATTGACATACAGTTTAATATTAAAAAGTAGATATTTTATGTTTTATAGCAAAATTAAATTTTCAATTTTTTTTTAAATTAATTCTAAATTAACGAATAGCAATAGAGGTGGAGCAATTTCGGCTTCTGCTGAAGCATTTAAGGAGCAATTAAGTAGCATACAGTTTAATTGAAAAAGTAGGTGTGTAATGTTTTATAGCAAAATTAAATTTTCGATAATTAATTTTTTTTAAATTAATTCTAAATAACTAATAGCGATAGAGGTACAACAATATCGGATTTTGCTGGAGCATTTAAGGAGCAATTAAATGGCATACAGTTTTATTTAAAAAAGTAGATATTTTATGTTTTATAGCAAAATAAAATTTTCGCTTCTTAATTTTTTTTAAATTAATTATAAAATAACTATTTGCAACAGAGGTGGAGCAATTTCGGATTCTGCTGGAACAATAGACCTGCTCAAAGTTCAAAAACTTTATTACACTAAGTTTGTATAAAACGGGTTATTATAATAGTAAGGAATTTATGGATGACAATAAACCCTAGGAATGAGGTGATCACTACCATACTATTTCTAATTTGTTGTGTAGTTAATTGTGTACATGATTGTAAGATGTTATTTAAAAAAAAAGTCACGCTGGGTTTCTTGCTGGTTCTTCCCAGGACAGAGGTTTATTCCGAACCAGTGGTAATAAAACAAAAGAGTAACTTTCAATAAGTATCATTTATAATCTATATTGAATAAAAAAGTTTCTGTTTCTGTTTCTACCGAATATCTACACGATACTTTTCTACTTGGATACTCTGGTGTTTTATTCAGAATTACATTGAAATTCAAAGCTAAAGTTTTATACCTAAGTTGACTGTATAATGAATGGAGACTTTATTATAAAAAACATTACTATTGTTATGAAATAAGTACCTATTTAATATAATTCTTAAAAAATTAAATAAAACTCGGTCTCATTACGTTAAATTTTTCGAAAGTTATTGTGACCACGTAAGAAAAATCTGGACGTCCACGAAAATTTTTTTTCAGCTTTCTTAAAATAGCAAAATAAAATTGATTTGTACAAAATATGAGATAATTTGATTAAATTTTCTTGAAATAAATCTACTCATATTATCTTATGAGTGCAAATCAGTTGTTGTAGAGGTAGTTAAAGAGCAAAAAAATTTCTTGACCTTGACGTATTGAGAGTAAAGCACAAACTCAACCGCTTCGCGGTATGAGGAGTGCGATATTTGAAAAAAAAAAGAAATTGTGTACTTTACAAAAAGATATGAAATCCGAACAAAAACAGTTTCACTGTAAAGCATCGCGCCAAGTACATTTTTAACTATAGTTACAAAAATAATAATTACATATTTACAAAAAATAAAAAAACCAAGTACATAACCGTTTTAGATTCGAAGAAATTTATGGCAAGCTGACCTGATTGATTTTCAAAAATATTTCACGTTTAATAAATGATATAAATATGTTCTAGTAGTAATCGATGCTCTATCAAAATACATATGGGTTAGACCAGTGATCGGCAAAGTGCGGCTCCAGAGCCGCATGTGGCTCTTTGGCTCCTTAAATGCGGCTCTGGCACAAATATCCACGGAAGGCGCAATAATATTTTCATTTAAAAAACTTGGTAAGAAATTAACATGGCTACCAAAAAAAAGCAAAGACAAACGGAAGATGAAAACCGCGAATTTAAAGTTGAGTGGACCGACAATTTGCGTTTATTCAAAACTTGAATGGATTTCCGACGTCTTATTTGTAAGGAGAAATTCGCGCATAACAAGAAGTCAAATTTAGAGAGACACTACAATAAAGCACGCGCCATTTAGCACCAAATATCCTACCGGTGATGCAAGGAAGAAAGCAGTTGAGGAACTTTAGAAGAGTCAAGAGTCATCAACTTCTATATTTAATAACTGGATGCAATCTTCCAGCAATATTAATATGGCAAGTTTTGTTTTTAGCCAAGAGATTGCTAAGAGAGTGAAACAGTACATAGACGGCGAATACATAAAAAATTGTTTTATAAATGCATCCGAAGAGATATTTCGGGATTTTAAGAACAAAGCAGATATTCTGAAAAGAATTAAAGAGTTACCATTGTCTGCCAAAATCATTAATAATAGAACAATTAAAATGTTTTCGCCACCCAGCATATCGAAAATCTGAAATTGGTTTCAGCTTTATCAATAGCAGTTGACAAGTCTTGTTACATAAATGATACAGCGCAAGTTTCACTTTTCTGCCGACTTCCAAAAAGGAGACGGTACTCAATTCGACTGTATATTTTTTTTTTTTGTGTGTTACTTCATAACTTTTAACTGGGTGAACCGATTTCGATGATTCTTTTTTATTTGAAAGCTGGTACTTTTCGTGTGATCCCATATGAATTTGATCAAGGTGGGACCAATAGTTTTTTGCTGTAATTGAGTGTATGGATAAACATCACATTCCCCTTGATAATATTGGGTCGATTTCAACAGATGGGGCCAAAAGTATGGCCGGCGTAAGCAAAAGGTTTGTTGCTATTTTGAAAGAAATAAAATAATTACAAGCTACTTGTTTGCCATTGTATCATTCACCAAGAAGCGCTTTGTGCACAAAACATTTCCGGATGAAAGTTGTTATGGAATTTTTAGCTAAAGCTCTTAATCATCGCCAATTTTAAGAATTTTTATTTGAAATGGAGAGTGAACACGCTGATCTTCTGCTTCATAACAAGGTACTTTGGTTATCAAGAGGGAACTTTTTAAAACGTTTCGGATCCCTTTTTCCGGAAATTAAAGCATTTCTCCTTGAGAAGGGCGTTCACTATCCAGAACTAAGAGACAAAAATCCAAAACTTCTATTTCATGGTAGACGTTACGTCTCATCTAAACCAGCTTAATCGTAAACTAAATTTCTCCATGGACGTCAGCTTAATCGTAAAAAATTGTAAAGAATCGTCGACGTTAGAAGAAGTAAATAAAATTCGAAAACAAATTATCTATTTTGCTCAAGATTTTGTTAGGGAAACATTGTTTCACTTTCCGAGCCTGCTGTAGCTAACACCATTTTAAAACAATAATTTTAAATATGAGGGAAGCATTAATCAGCAGGTTTCAGGAATTTAAAAACAGCAGAGCAACTTTAGCATTTGTCAAAAATCCTCTTAATGCTACGATAACAGAGTTGAAATTTTCTCCTTTTGAAATTGACGTTGGTAGCTTTGAAATACAATTGCTGGATTTAAAAAACAAGGAGATATGGCGCTCTAAATTCGAACGTATAATGTGAACGTAATGAATTAGAAATATTAAAGAAAAAACTATGTGATCTTAGTTCACAACACAAGTGGTCTGCTTTGAATGACCTGGAGAAGGAAGACATGATCATTTTCAACGCTTGGAATAGTATTCCTGACTTTTACGATCAGCTGAAAAAGCTCGTGTTTGCTGTTCTTTCCCTTTTCGGTTCTACATATATATGCGAACAATCTTTTACAAGCATGAACATTATCAAGAGTAAACTGAGAAGTGGTCTTATTGATGAGAACTTGGAATCATGCCTAAAATTAAAAACAACATACAAACTTGATTTACTCAACAAGCACATTGTTCGCATTAATATTTATTAAATATGATATTTAGTTTTATTTAGTGTACTACTTATTTAGTGTATAAAAGTTTACTAAACAAGCAGATTTGGCTCCCAATTTTTTTTAAATTGTTGTAATGTTTAAATTTGGCTCTTTGGCTAATAAGTTTGCTGACCACTGGGTTAGACCATTGAAAACGAAACATAAAAATTGTGTCAGAAATGCGATGCAAAGTTTATTATCTGAATCAAGACGAAAACCTAAAAATTTACAAACAGATCTTGGTACAGAGTTTTATAATGATTCTTTTAAGAATTTAATAATAATAATAATAATAATAATAATTTATTTCAGACCCACATATAGTCCATAACTATGTTAGTAATTAGCTTAACCTATGTTAGTCTTAAATTATTACACACACATTTTTAATTTCAATTATTTTTATTTTCGACACCCCATGACACCAGGCACATGCAAGTGCATACGCATCCAGTGTCCTAGGATGGGACAATCAAATTTATCAGATATTGCCCTCAGAATGCTATTGGAGCTCCCACGAACCCTGCGCAATAGGGATGCGATTCTCTTTCGGATAATAGCATGAAAGTCATCCGTACCGTACACTGTAAACATCCCTGAAGCGCTACAATACCGCGGAAGTCCCATCAGCACCCTGAAGGCATTGTTATATTGTACCCGAAGGGCATTGTAGGCTCTCTGCGTATACTTAACCCATAGACTGCACGTGTAAAATGACTGACAAAACGCTTTGAAAAGTGTTATTTTAACTTCTTCAGTACAGCGTGCAAAGCTACGGGACAGCATGTTACAGCGAACCGCCAATGCCCTTCTTTCTCTTTCTATGTCCGCATCATCAGTCAGATCCTCGGTTAATACGTGACCAAGATACCTAAACTGGAACACCCTATTTAACTGTACGTTCCTCAACTTAACAGGAGGAATCGATTCAATTTTTGATCCAGCGCGTAACACCAATAATACACTTTTTTTAACGTTATAAATGAGACCGTGGGTCTCAGCATAGGTATCACAAACATTCAATAATATCCTCAGTGCGTTAATTGAAGGGCTCAGCAACACCATGTCGTCTGCATAGCTTATGCTATTAACGAAATGCCCATCAATTGAGCAGCCCACACCAGTGTTGCTGAGCTCAACGATCAACTGGTTTATATACAGGTTGAAGAGCGCTGGTGAAGTCCGGCCACCCTGTCTCACCCCGCACTCTAACCTGTACTCGTCAGATTTAATGAAAAATTATAATATTAATCATTATTCCACGTACTCCGTTAAAAAGGCCTCCATTGTAGAACGAGTAATAAGAACTTTAAAAACTCACCTTTACAAAATATTCAGTCTATGCGGACGATATCAATGGTTAAAAAATAATTTAGATTTTGTTATAAAGCGGTATAATAATATGATTATAACTATCTAAAAATAAGCTCCCATGACGTTAAACCTTACTCAATCGCTTCCTTAATTTAGTTAAAAAAAATTAAGGAAGCGAGTGAGTAAGGGTTTTGTGGGATGTTGTATAAACATTGTTATCTGAGTTTTCTTCATTATTAACAGAATCTTCAAACGCATCACTTGAAGAAATCGATGACTCACTTGTGCTGTACTTAGGTTTTTTAATAAGGTGAGCTTGGTTTATCTTCATTTAAATGCTGCTTTTCTTCAGTTTTTCTGGTAGGTAAGCATATTAAGTGGATCAACGATAGACTTAAATATTATTTCCAAAGCCAGACTGTTTGTATTTTTTGCATCTTTTATCATTTCTACCTTTCTTTTTACAGCTGCAGCAGATTTTACAATTTATTTCTTGTGGTCTCGCTCCATTGTAAAGGAATTGTACTATGTTTGACTACTCAGCAGAAACTGATTGCTTTGTGACATAGCAACTATTTAAACGTTAGTCTAAAATTATGTTATGTATTTATGTAATTATGTTGTGTATGTTAATTCGGTAATTATGAATGTATCAAACTTTATTCTGTAACAGCTTTTATTTCGTTCACAGTATTTATTTATAACAATATAATTGAAAGGTTTTCTCCACACAGTTGAACACAAGTAGTGTAGTTGTACCACTTCTAGACCACCTGAGTCAGACGTGGTTCAACGACGTTCGTCGACGCCCGATCCTAAAAAAAAAAAAAAAAGGTTTTGGCATGCTCTGATCACGAATCCGCGGTCCATTTTTGTGTAGAATGCACGGTTCCGGAGATGTGTAGATCAATTAGCTAATATCTAATTGATATCCGGTAAGGGCCTCCACCGTCATTAGCGTCCCATTGTTCCTATTTCTATTGTTCTATTGTTCCTTAATCACCTTCATTGCAGCGTGTGCGTCGACTATATCAGTGCTATTGTATTATAATTCTTTGTTTATACAACGCTAATCTGAATCATCAATAAAACACATTACATAATTTTGTTACAATTTTTATTTATAAAATACAAAATCTTATTAATTATTATCTATAAAATAGGAGCGAAACATCTCATCCACTAAAATATCGTTGTACAATGTGTTCCTTGTAAATATACTCGTAAAACTATGTATTGAACAACCTTGAAACTTACATAGTAAATACATTAAGCAATATTCGCCACAAACTGAAGTCCACTCATTCTGAATCCTATCAACATTCCAGTTCCATCTTTTACAATTCCTTTTTAAAAACTCTAGATGATATCGTACAGGTGATCGTCCATATGAATCAAAATATTGACCGACGTCATTCGTATCGATATATAAAGCTACCCAATGTGACCCTGGTTTATCATCTGTATCCAAATTACATATTATATACGTTGGTACGTGGGTATACATAGGCAGTCTATTAGCTGCATAAACATTATTTTCTAGACTGGGGTGAATCTTTTTCAGATGTTTTTGTACATCTAGTGTATCCATGATATTACTGCTATTAGTAGATTATTACAGTACCTAGCTACTCAATGAATAACATAGGAATGGTCAATTATAGTGATTTCTACATATTAAATTGCATTTTTGTGTTATACAAATCGTACTTGAGTCATTGATCACCAAACAAAACACAATACGAAGAAATGTTGAGATAGGCAACGGAAATGTGAGATAAACTGATATGTTTCTAAATATTAAATTGCATTTTTGTGTTATACAAATCGTACTTGAGTCATTGATCACCAAACAAAACACAATACGAAGAAATGTTGAGATAGGCAACGGAAATGTGAGATAAACTGGTTGACGCATAAAGTAATTATCAACTCATTACGGAAATACTTTAGATTAGAATTTTTACGTACTGGTGGTATATAAGACCAACAAACGCAGTCATCGAGTTAGTGTACGGTCGTTTGGCTACAGTGGATCTATCAATAGTACATTTGTGTTACTTCAATACACCAAAGGCTATGGATGTAAGTGTTTATTCTATTGACTAAATTACTTTTTTTCTGTTATTTTCATGTGTGTGTGTATTATTTTATTTAAATATTGTGTATGTATATGATTAAGCCGTGGTAACTCAGATGGTTAGCGCTAGCTGTAAATTTCACAGTACGCGACCCGGGTTCGATCCCCGCCAGCACCAATTAAATTGTTAATAGCAATTTTAAGTGCTTATTACCACGTGCTTGGTGGTGAAGGAAAACATCGTGAGGAAACCTGCATGTCTGAGAAAATTTCGAAGGCATGTGAAGTTCGCCAACACACATTGAGGGAGCGCGGCGGACATTTCCTTGCTCTAAAACCCTCTCAGAAATGAGAGGAGGCCTATGTTCAGCAGTGGACTTTAATAGGCTGTAACTTTAACTTTTTTAACTTTTATGATTAAGTGTTAACAAATTGATATTAACATGATAACTGTGTTGTTGCAGAAATCATTGAGCTTCGATGAAGATACCTATAAACAGTATTACTACTCGCCACTCTCCCCTCAAGAAGAGAGTGATGACCTCGTCATTAATAATAACACATGCGATGGTGGAAAAAGAAAATCGCAATCGATTGATCATTTTTTTGAAGCTGAATCAAAAATAAAAAAGAGGAAGGGAAAACTTCAGTGAAGTGTGCACCAGTGCTTTTTTCTCCACAATCATGGAAGAGAATACGGAACTATTCAATAGCGAATTAAATCAGGAGTTGTCTAAAGTTTGTGAAGAAATGGAGAGGGGTCAACTGTTCGATTCGTCATACGATGATGAGTTGTATCATCACTGTGCGATGGTTGAAACACAGTTTAAGTATGTAAAATAAACATTCATTTCGATCATAATTTACATATTGTCTTATACAGTTTTTAATAAATTTAAACATTTTAGCAGTCAACCACTACAACTTGGAAGAGGAACGAAGCGAACGTGCAGCAAAGAATCCAAGATCATCAAAAAACCAACAACGGAAGCAGAAGCGCATACCTCTGCAGGGAACAGTATCAGTAACGATGATCAAGTGGAATGTCCAACGTGCCATATATTTATCAAGAAACGGTATTTAGCTAATCATTTTAAAAGTAATGTTCATAAAAATAATCTTTTAAATTCACATAATTCTTTATCAAACGTTAGTGTTATTGAATCTGCTTTTGGAAATAGGATTTTAACTTATAAAATCAAGAGTAGAGTAGATCGTTCGACATGGGTAAATTTTGAAACTCCTGAACTATTTTTAAATTCTATTAAAGATGATATTTTATTTTTATTACAAGAGTGTATTCATCAACACATAATTTTTAAGGTAAACTTCATATTGCATGCTGATTTTGTTCAACAAACTAAAGATATTCATGATACGTTCGATTTTCAAACGCTTAACT